TGGAAATGGTGTATACATACAAACACGTACGTACGTATGTACATACTTCATGTGTGTGTATGTTTATGTTTGTATGTATACACCACGCTTACGTACGTACGTAAGCGTGCCCGTGTGTAGCGAATCGTACAGAAAAAAAATTGTGGATAAAAAAAGATTGTGTTACTGCCCATGCTGTAATGTTAAATAAAATACATGTTACTGATCTAAACACCGAGTACTCCCATTCTAACTAGAATATAAAACCACCCATAGATAAATTAGACACGGCAATACTTGCACCACTTATCACATTCAAGTAATCGAGAACTGTTGTTTAATATATTCTCTCCTACCTGTGTTCCAGAGACAACATCTGAGGAGCTCGGAGATTCTAATAGTTTAAATGTTTAACCATGTCACTGAGAGTAGTAAATATCCCACAAGTTAACTCAGCAGCTATCACAATCTACAACCAACCAAACGCGTGAAGTCAGTGTGACTTTGTAAATGGTCCAAGTCGGACTGAAACGTCGTCGTAAGCTCCTCTCTTCTATGTGCGGGATGTGTGTGTGTATTGTTCCAGTCACGGTACTGTGCCTATTATTATTATTTATATTGTTCCAGTCACGGTACTGTGCCTTTTTATTATTATTATTATTATTATTTAGTCATATGCGCAACATCTGGTTGCTTTTATGTAGACGCCTCGCCATCCAGTGGCTTTATCAATACAAATTCAAGGACATAACTGGAAGACAGTAGAACTATATATACAAAAGATGAGGTAATCAGTCCCTCAGCCTTGTTGCTGGTGAAGAGCACCGTAGTCTTGCATAGTCTGAAGCAAAGACATGAAGACTGGCGCTTATACACTATGTACAACCAACAGCGTCTAAACTAACACTAGTACTGATTTATGTCAATAATTAAGGCTCCCACATGCCTTTAACTCTCCCTCCCCTCCTCCCACCCTCCTTCCGCAATCTACATCATTCCTCATTGTATGTCCTTCCGCTGATAAGATTGTAAATTTAAAACCCTTATTGTTAACATAGCTTTAGTGCGTTATCAGGCCTCCTAAGCTTGCTGTACCCTCCTCTTACCACAGCAACCACAGAAAAACTATCCTCCCCTTCCCACAACAGAACAACTTTCTGTACCTTCCCCTTCCCACATCAGCTACAGAACACTAATAACTTCCACAGATTCGCTACAACAGCCCTCCCCATACGCACCAGCCACAAATTCCTACGCACAACAGTGATAAATTACTACAACACACACCAGCCACAGATTACTACAACACCCGCCCAATACTCCAGACAACAGCCAAAGGCCACAACAACACCCCCACCCCTCCCAGCGATAGACCATGAAATCACCATGAATAAGCCAGACTACTACAGAAACTTTATCTCACCATCCACAGACTGCACCACAACCCATTAAATGTGAACGCAGTGTAACACACTGGTCAGTGGCACAACTGAACTCCCGTTAAGATGAGGCACCAATTTATACTAGTATTAAATATTCTTGCCTTTTGGTGCTGCAGCAGTTCCTTTAAGTGCTGTATTGTATCGCGGAGTACACTCCTTGGATCACAAGAGAAAGGGCCTGAGTTCAATCCCAAGCACAGAGACGTACTGTTAGGTCACTGTACATGTACTGTCCCTGTTCACCTAACAAAGCACATAACTAAAAGCTACTCTTGTTCAGGGTCTCTTGTTGGGAAAGAAGACTTAAGGATCCCAGTGGAAGTAAGACATGGTGCTAGGTTTTCTTGGTGTATCCTGGGATATTAACCTGGTCCAGGGTGACTTGCGTTACCCTGACCCATTAACTTGGGCTATCCTGGATTACCCTGGGCTATTGGGCTACCCTGGGTTACCCTGGGCTATTGGGCTATCCTAGGTTATCCTGGGCTATGAACTTGGGCTATGTTGGGTTACCCTGGGCTATGAACTTGGGCTATCCTGGGTTACCCTGGGCTATGAACTTGGGCTATCCTGGGTTACCCTGGGCTATGAACTTGGGCTATCCTGGGTTACCCTGGGCTATGAACTTGGGCTATCCTGGGTTACCCTGGGCTATTGGGCTACCCTGGGCTATTGGGCTACCGTGGGTTACCCTGGGCTATGAACTTGGGCTATGTTCGGTTACCCTGGGCTATGAACTTGGGCTATCCTGGGTTACCCTGGGCTATTAACTTAGGCTATCCTGGGTTACCCTAGGCAATTAAGCAATTAACTTGGGCTATCCTGAGTTACCCTGGGCTATGAATTTGGACTATCCCGAGTTACCCTGGGCTATTAACTTGGGCTATCCTGGGTTACCCTAGGCAATTAAGCAATTAACTTGGGCTATCCTGAGTTACCCTGGGCTATGAATTTGGACTATCCCGAGTTACCCTGGGCTATTAACTTGGGCTATCTGGTTACCTAGACAATTAAGCAATTAACTTGGGCTATCCTGAGTTACCCTGGGCTATGAACTTGGACTATCCTGAGTTACCCTGGGCTATTAACTTGGGCTATCCTGGGTTACCCTGGGCTATTAGCTTGGGCTATCCCAGGCTATTAACCCTGCCGATTATAAAAAGTGTTTTTTCCCCCTGTATGTTCATTTTAAGCAAGGGTGTTTAAGCCTCAGCAACACACGCCGGACAAAGTTGGGCTACACTGGGCTACTAAGTTGAACCTCCCTGCACCTACAAGTTGGTGTAGTCAACGTGAGAAGCAAACCGGCTGCAGATAACATCCAGTTGAACTGCAGCACCAAGACCCACAATGTATTACGCAAGACCACACTTAGCCAACCCGACTTTCTCGGCCGCTCCCGACCAAGGAAATAACGTGACCAGGGATGGTAGTTTCTTTTCAAGAGGCAATAGGCAAACTTTCTAGGAAAGTCACAAAGACTTTGCCAGGTATCCTAGTCGTAGGACTATTGCGACGCTGCGCACACGAACGTTAAACGCAGATACAACATGTGGAAAAAGACGCTTTATGTACAGTTCAGGACATTAGGAGGAAACGCATCGCCATCTTCTTGCATCTTCTCTAATAGTTAATGAGGTCACAGTGAAACACTGTACCAATAAAAACTGCGTCTGAAAATGTCTCGTCAGTCATAATAAGATACAATAGCTTATAGAATTTGTAGTGTTATAGAATTTATGTTTAACGTAAAGATATTATCTCCGCTAAACATTTAAGATGTATCAACTTTACTAGTAATATACCTCTGACCTGTTCCGAGGGTTCTTCTACATCGTGCCCCGGCCTCCCAGAGAAAAGGTAAGACCTTTGACCTTTACCTTTAATAAGTTTCGAGAGTTTTTCTACTGACGGAGCCGGGCCGTGACCCAGGCTTGTCTGGTACTTGCCTGGTTAACCAGGGTGTTACTGCTAGGGGCCCTCTGACCCACATATCCACCACAGCCTGGAGATGTCTGTCCAGTTTCCTCTTGAAGACTGGTACACTTGTCGCAGCAGTGTTTCTGACAATATCTGGCAAGATGTTGCATAATCTGGGACCACGGATGTTGATACAAAGATAAAAAAAAAATTGCCGAGTCGAATGCAAGAGAGTACAGTTAGATAGTAAGAGTAGGGGGGAGAGAACCTGGAGAGCAAAATAGTTAAGTTAATGAGTGAAGGTGAGCGTAGGAAGAGACTAGGGAGGGTAGTATTAAGACCGCAGATAAAGGCAGTTTGAGGGGCAGTGAAACCATGTAGCAAGGAACTGAGGTTAGGAGATTTAAAAGCTACGGTCGAGTGGAACAGGAAAATAAGGGGAGAGAGAGGTTAAGAAAAAATGAGTGAACAGAGGGAGGAAAGATTAACAAAATAAAAAGATTGGAAAAACCTGACAGGGCAGAAGGGGATTTCAGAGGGTAAAGGCAGTAAGACATGGAAGTAAAGAATGGAAGAGGGACCTAGAGAAAGCAGTTCCCCTTGCAACTCTAACAATTGCTACTTACGTCATCTAATGACCTTGTCCATGAGGAAAAATATTTAAAGTCAAATAATCATGGTGTAGGCCAATACTGGATTCATGAAGAAAATCATGTCGCCTTGTGTCGGAGCACTCCATGTACGGGAAACACCACTACAATATGTGTAACTGACTCTGGGAAGAATATCTGGGGCACGAACGTGCAGCCTGGCCTGCTAATGGCCTCTACTAAGTTTACCTGTAGCTTACCTGCTGTAGCTCCTGGGGATCACCACCACCGCAGCCAGGTCTCTGACCAGGCCTCCTGGTCATGCTGTTGGTGATAAATGCATTTAGTCCAACTTAAGTCACCACAGCTCGGATGGAAAAAAAATTTATCATTAGGAACTGGCATGAAATTAGAACCTGAGACATGCAAGTAAAGCATTATGAAGTCCAAAGTTGTACCAGAAGATTAGTCAGAGATGAGGGACCTAATTCGTGAAGATAAAAGCACTCAACAATGGAAGAATAAAGCAAGAGGAAACATTGCCACAACATGCAAAATACTAGAGGCATGTACCACAAAGATATACACAAGCTGTTAACGAGGAGTGGGGAACATAAGAGAGGATATAAATGGAAAATAAGCCCTAAAATGAGCTAGAGATACACAACCAACTTCTCCAGTATACCTGTAGCATGTTTCTAGTGTACTTTTATCACAACTCTGAGGTAAAACATAAATTTGATTGCTTGATCATCAGGCTGTCAATGAAGCCTTAATTCACTAGGACACGGCCTGGACCGGACCGCGGGGGCGGTGACCCCCGCAAACATCCATCAGGTGTAGCACCAAAGTGGCTGATGTGGCATTGCTTGCAGAACTGGTACAGTTTCTTCTGGACGTCTCTAAATACGACAAAGCTCGTGGAATTTGGGGAAGCAACACACTGGTTGATTAACTCTTAAGAGATGTGAGCCAAGTGACTAAGCCCGCTCCAACAAACACAGGTTAATACATAAAACAAGTACACACAAACACATGCCCGGGGCCACCACAACAAATCTTTACTTACTTTTGATGGGACGACCGTTCGGTGCATCGCCTTCAAAGAGAGAGAAACTTTGCATAAGAAACATGAGACGGTTATCACAGCGTAAGCCTATTAAAATGTTCGGGGGAACAGGGTAAGGGTATCAGAAATTAAGGTCAAAAAATACAATTAAAGCCATTAAAAAACTTACTCGTGTACACTCAAGAGGTGCGTGACCAGCACCAGAGTCTGCCCTTGACACTAATATCATCCTGCTGTTTTATACAACAAAAACAGTTTCCTAATGCACTCTCTCTGACTATTCCACCACCCCACCATCTTTCACAACAGCGTCCACTCTCCTACTCCCGACAGGCGAGCGTTACACATAACTAGAGGGGAGGTGAGGCAACACTATTTACAAGAATGCATAAAATTCACATATTTACACGGGCACCTGCAACAGATTGAGGATCTGCTGATCTCTCCTATCTTGACATATGATATTACTTAATAACTAAACTTTTTTACTAAAATGTTTAATAATTAATTACCCTCATCTCCCTCATTTAGTGCAGACACTGACAACGTGCTATACAAATCGAAACCGTCACAAACTTGTTCTGAGCACGTCTTTTTCTCCATCCTGTAGGCAACTCTGGCTGGAGAACAGACATGTTGATACCTAGTGTGTAGACATATATATACAAGTCTAGACATTTACTGAAGAAATATTTCGTTTCAAGTGGATTCTTCAGTATCTCGAAAAGACCCAATATCTTGAAATGTGCCTGTGACTACCTGCAGGTATCTGTCTTGTGACCCAAAGTACTATCTACTGCGTCAAGGCACTGGTGTATTGTATAAGTGAAAAATGGTATAAAGAACCGACATGATGGAAAAAAAAAAGATGCAGCGTAAGGCAATCCTTAATTGACAAAGTTCCCCCCCCCCCCCCACGGAGGGTGAAATGCCGTGAAACAAAAGCATTACACTGCATGTTTGTCCCTTTCCACGGTATTGCCTCGATTTTACAGGACCCACCACCAACCCAGGATGACTCCCGTGCTCTGGCATCACACACACACACAAACACACACACACACAAACACACACACACACACACACACAAACACACACACACAAACACACACACACAAACACACACACACAAACACACACAAACACACACAAACACACACACACACAACACACACAAACACACACACAAACACACACACCAGAGTGAGAGGGGAGGATGAACCAGCAAGATTGGACCTTGTGTTCACCCTGGGCAGCTCAGACATTGAGGACATCAAGTATGAGAGTCCCCTAGGAGCTAGCGACCACGTGGTTCTGTGCTTTGAATACATAGTAGAGCTGCAAGTGGAGAGAATAACAGGAATTGAATGGGAAAAGCCTGACTATAAAAGAGGGGACTACATAGGGTTGAAGAACTTCCTGCAGGAGGTCCAGTGGGACAGAGAACTGGCAGGAAAGCCAGTAAATGAAATGATGGAATATGTAACAACAAAATGCAAGGAGGCAGTGGAAAGGTTTATTCCCAAGGGCAACAGTAACAACGGGAAGACCAGAACGAGCCCCTGGTTTACCCGACAGTGTAAGGAGGCAAAAACAAAGTGCAATAGAGAATGGAAAAAGTACAGAAGGCAGAGAACACTCGAAAATAGGGAGATCAGTCGCAGAGCCAGGAATGAGTATGCACAGGTAAGGAGGGAGGCCCAGCGACAGTATGAAAATGACATAGCATCGAGAATCAAGACTGACCCGAAACTGTTGTATAGCCACATCAGGAGGAAGACAACAGTCAAAGACCAGGTGATCAGATTAAGGACAGAAGGTGGAGAACTCACAAGAAATGATCAGGAGGTATGTGAGGAGCTGAACAGGAGATTTAAGGAAGTTTTTACAGTAGAGACAGGAAGGGCTGGGGGAAGACAGCACAGAAGGGAACATCAAGAGGGAATATACCAACAAGTGTTGGATGACATACGAACAACTGAGGAGGAGGTGAAGAAGCTCTTAAGTGACCTTGACACCTCAAAGGCGATGGGACCGGACATCTCCCCATGGGTCCTTAGAGAAGGAGCAGAGATGCTGTGCGTGCCTCTAACCACAATCTTCAACACATCCCTTGAAACTGGGCAACTACCTGAGAAATGGAAGACAGCTAATGTAGTCCCCATATTTAAGAAAGGAAACAGAAACGAGGCACTAAACTACAGATCTGTGTCTCTGACATGTATTGTGTGCAAAGTCATGGAGAAGATTATCAGGAGGAGAGTGGTCGAACACCTGGAAAGGATCAAGATTATAAATGAAAACCAGCATGGGTTCATGGAAGGCAAATCTTGTATCACAAACCTCCTGGAGTTTTATGACAAGGTAACAGAAGTAAGACACGAGAGAGAGGGGTGGGTAGATTGCGTTTTTCTAGACTGCAGGAAGGCCTTTGACACAGTTCCCCACAAGAGATTAGTGCAGAAGCTGGAGGATCAGGTGCATGTAAAAGGGAGAGCACTGCAATGGATAAGGGAATACCTGACAGGGAGGCAGCAACGAGTGATGGTACGTGAAGAGGTATCACAGTGGGCGCCTGTTACGAGCGGGGTCCCACAGGGGTCAGTTCTAGGACCAGTGCTATTTTTGATATATGTGAACGACATGATGGAAGTAATAGACTCTGAAGTGTCCCTGTTCGCAGATGACGTGAAGTTGATGAGAAGAATTAAATCGGATGAGGATGAGGCAGGACTGCAAAGAGACCTGGACAGGCTGGACATGTGGTCCAGTAACTGGCTTCTCGAATTCAATCCAGCCAAATGCAAAGTCATGAAGATTGGGGAGGGGCAAAGAAGACCGCAGACAGAGTATAGGCTAGGTGGACAAAGACTACAGACCTCACACAGGGAAAAAAGACCTTGGGGTGACCATAACACCGAGCACATCACCGGAGGCACACATCAACCAAATAACTGCTGCAGCATACGGGCGCCTGGCGAACCTGAGAATAGCGTTCGATACCTTAATAAGGAATCGTTCAAGACACTGTACACTGTGTATGTTAGGCCCATACTGGAGTATGCAGCACCAGTCTGGAACCCACACCTGGTCAAGCACGTCAAGAAGTTAGAGAAAGTACAAAGGTTTGCAACAAGGCTAGTCCCAGAGCTCAAGGGAATGTCGTACGAGAAAAGGTTAAGGGAAATCGGACTGGCGACACTGGAGGACAGAAGGGTCAGGGGAGATATGATAACGACATACAAGATACTGCGGGGAATAGACAAGGTGGACAGAGATAGGATGTTCCAGAGAGGGGACACAGGGACAAGGGGTCACAACTGGAAGCTGAAGACTCAGACGAGTCACAGGGACGTTAGGAAGTATTTCTTCAGTCATAGAGTTGTCAGCAAGTGGAATAGCCTAGCAAGTGAAGTAGTGGAGGCAGGAACCATACATAGTTTTAAGAAGAGGTATGACAAAGCTCAGGAAGCAGAGAGAGAGGACCCAGTAGCGATCAGTGAAGAGGCGGGGCCAGGAGCTGAGTCTCGACCCCTGCAACCACAATTAGGTGAGTACACACACACACACACACACACACACACACACACACACACACTAGAGGATATCTTCCCCACCCTTCGTGAACCCTTCTCATACAAAACACCTGAAAAAGTTGCAGCAAGTCGCCCCAGTTCCAGCACTAGGTTACGGGACCGCACTCTTCCACCCTCGCCACATCTCACTTTTGCCTTAACTCCTTCCTTGCCCCCTTCCATCGTTTCCACGTCTATCTTTTCTATTTTCCTTTCCGCTTTCATCTCTTCCCTCCCCAAGCATCTGGTTCACTACCTCCCACTATTTTAATACCTCACTTCCACACCACCCTTCTACAATCCCCTCTTCCACTTTCCAGTCTCCACTTTGTTGAATACAAACTATTTTCCACTATCTCTTGACTTCCATCTCACCTCTCCCCAAGTCTTCCAACTCTCATCCGTATACTTAGTAATGCTAATTACAAAAGTCTGCTATTAGTTCCACCCCCCCCCATCAATGGCCGTCACCCCTCGAAACCCTGGTCCTAGTTTTAAGTTATTGTACGTTAAAGGTGTGGAATACAAGACCCTGCCTATCATGGGCCAGTATTGCTGATGGTATGTAATGCCCTCAAGTATTGAAGAGCTGCCCATTTGTCTTGTAGAAAAAGACACTTAAGGGGCACGTCACTTTCCCTGTTTTCTAATATGTTATTTTTTCCCCTATAATCTACCTAGTCCAGAATTACTACCGTATTTGCTTTGTCTGCTTTCGTAAGGTGAAGTCCATGATCTTTCCTTAAATTAAACCATGAATTAAGGAGATCCTAGACTTCGCCTTACGAAAGCAGACAAAGCAAATGCAATAGTAATTATGGACAAGGTAGATTATAGTGGGAAAATAAACACAATATTAGGAGACAGGGAAACTAACAAGACTCTTAAGTACAGCTCAAGACATTTATTAAAGGAAACGTTTCGCCACGAGTGGCTTCTTCAGTCTGTGTCTTACCACGGGCCCATACACCTGTTGCTGTGCTGCTCAATTCTTCTGTTCTTATGGGATATGATTGTGCGTGTTGTGATAAACACAGGCAACTGGGTAGATGTGTTTATAGACCATACGGTCATTTAAGGCTGTTAACACACTGAATCTCGACCAGTGAAGGACATTTTTCAGAATGGCCGCAATACGTCATTCGGTCAACGAAAGCATGTCATACACATCAGTGCTGGAACATGACTCTAGAAATGATTTCTAGTGAGCAATTTTTTCCAACTGCCTACGCTGCATCGAGCAAAATTTCGAAAATGGACCAGAATATGGATTTCATTTTGTCATGAATTAAAATGCGGCCTCAGCAGCAATAATTAATAAAACTCAAAAATATAATTAAAATGCAATAAAAGAAATTCGAAGTCTTAAATTATATTCGTATATAATATATATGTCAGTGAACTATACTAAAAAGACAGTAAAAATTACAAAAATAGTAAGAGAAGACTATGGTG